TCTTCAGCTCCCTCAAAGTAATGATTTTGATACACATTAAAATATAGGTGACTCAGATGGATGGAGACATTTGCTCTTAGTTTCATTTTTGTACTTTACAAGATAAGTATCTCATGGACCCAAATCCATACATTTGCTCTAAAGGGTTTGGTTGATTCTCTTAATTTACCAGGTGCTGGCAGAAGTCACGGTGAGTGCCCAGGCATCAGCCAAAGTGAAAAATGAAGTCCAGGAGGTAAAAGACAAAGCTCAGAAAATTGTGGATGAGATCGACAGTGAAAAGGTGAAAGCTGAGTCAAAGCTGGAGGCGGCCAAGCCTGCCCTGGAAGAGGCGGAGGCTGCCCTGAACGTGAGCACCGCCCATCCCCCCTCCGACCCCTCCTCTATCCCCCCTCTCCACAAATCCTACCTGGTACCCAGTTTCATTATGTGGAATTAACCTGGAAACTTTGTTGCAACCTCGTCTGGAGACAAATGCCCCCATTGGCCTGGTTTTCTTAGCTACAGGGTTTTCCGAAAAGGAGCCAGTGGACAGTTGCCTAACTTGGGGATGTCCAGTCCTTTGGCATTGAGAACATGGCATTGTCATCTACAGATGATACACAGAGCTATCCTGGGACACATGAGGCTGGGGACCCTCAGGCTGGACATGCCTGCTATGAGCACGATGGATTCAGATAATGGAGACAGCCTTATCCTGGCTGCTCCCCTGCTTTAGACCCTCTTGTAGCTCCTGCTTCTCTAAGGATACAGTTCCAAGCTAGACATCCGCAGCTGCGGGGCAAGAGGGTTACCCTGATCTTCCTTCTCCCCACCCTTTCTTTTCATCTTCCCTCTCTTCTACTTAATAACTTAAGATGGCCCCTGGGATCCTCCTGTTCTTGCTTCTGCAGTGCTGTGCACAGGCCGCCACATGTGGTTTTTATGTGGGTGCTTAGCACCCTGACCTAGGCCCTCACGTTGGCACCACTTAGCAGTCAGTTCTCCAAAGGAGCCACCTCCGTCACCTGTCTTAATATCTGTCCATTGCTGTGAAGATGCAAGCTGTCTAAACGCTACTTACCCAATTATGCTATCTTAGCGGAGGCCGGGTGGCAGGCAATGAGTGGTGGTGAGACTCTGAGTCAGCTGAAGGGGCAGCAGAACCGGGAATAAAGTCAAATAAACAGAAACCTGAACCCGACCTCCAAGGGAATCATTATGCAGAAACGTCAGAATTTGCTCCCTCGAGGAGATAATGACAGGAATCGGAAGATGAAATCTGTTTTGATTGTGTTCCGCTTTAATCATCTGAAGGCATTAGGTTTCCGTATATGAGTCTATGAATACCACTCAGGGAAAAAAATTTTTTTATATTGATTGCTGTTCCCAACTATAGACCATCAAACCGAATGACATTGCCACGGTCAGGAAGCTCGCCAAACCGCCGCATCTGATCATGAGGATCATGGACTGTGTGCTGCTGCTCTTCCAAAAGAAAATTGACCCCGTTACCATGGACCCGGAAAAGCCCTGCTGCAAGCCATCCTGGGGAGAGTCGCTAAAGGTAAGACACGTCTTCGCTAAGTCTGCACACAGTACCCGAGATAATACATGGATAAAAAGGAAAGGCTTGTTTTGGCTTACCATTTTTGTTTTTGGGCCATGATTGATTGGCAGCAGGCAGGCATGGTGCTGGAGCAGGAGCTGAGAGCTCACATCTTGAGACACAACCCCAAAGCAAGAGACGAACTAGGAATGGTGTAGACTTTTGAAACTTCAAAGCCTGCCCCCAGTGACACACCTCTTCTGACAAGACCACACCTCCTAATCCTACCCGAACAGTTCCAACAACTGGGGACCGAGCATTCATAAATGTGAACCTATAGGGGCCATTTTCATCCAGACTCTCAGGGTTCATGCTAATGGAGGATGGGGGGAATTCTTTTCTCCCAGAACTGAGAGATTGCCACACTGTCTTCCAGCTGATGAGTGCAACGGGGTTCCTGTGGAGCCTGCAACAGTTCCCGAAGGACACAATCAACGAAGAGACTGTTGAGTTGCTGCAGCCATATTTTAACATGGACGACTACTCCTTTGAAAGTGCTAAAAAAGTCTGTGGGAATGTGGCGGGGCTACTGTCCTGGACGCTTGCTATGGTGATATTTTATGGCATCAACAGGGAAGTGTTGCCCCTGAAGGTAAGCCTCCCTCCTCCCCGTAAATCATTGCTTGGTAAAGGCGGTCATATGAATTACTCTCAGCCAGCTGCACAGCTTGGTCTTCATGTGCGAACCCTAACGGTGGGAACAGGGGGCTGTCTCTAATTCTGTTGCCAGCCTTTGGAACTCTTTCCCCCTGCTAGGCTGTCAAGAAACACCTAGTCTTACTGCAACTTGATATGCCAAGATTGGTTGATGCCCATGGGAGGCCTGCTCTTTTCTGAACAGAAAAGGAAGAGGAGTGAATTGGGGGGTGGGGTAGGGTCAGGGGAAGGGCTTGGAAGAGAGGAAGGAAGGGAAACCAAAGTGGGGATATAAAGTGAATAAATAAATTAATTTAAAAAAATGTATTACCCATGGGGGAAAAAGAATAAAGACCATACTTATTCTTTAAAAAAAAAAAAAAAAAAAGAATTACTGTTAGCAGACTGTAATTTAGACCAATATAGGCAACTGCGTTTTAAATTATTTATTCATTTAGTCATTTTTTTCTAATGTATAGCCCTGGATGGCCTGGAACTAGCTATGTAGACTGTGCCAGCCTGGTGCCCACAGAGATCTGCCTGTCTCTGCTTTCCACTTGGATTAATCTCGTGCACCCCCATGTATATTTTTGACTTTTATGCCCTTCTAAGGTTTCTCTCTCTCTCTTTAAAAATATCTGGTGCATGTTTCTTGGCAGTGCAGACAACCAGAAGTAACTTGTTCACGTTAACAGCAAATGAATTTGTTCAGAGTAATCATCAAGCTGCCATAGGCAAGGTTGGCATGTCTTTCAAACCTCAGAGACTCGGGACTGAGTTTGCTCACAGCATTCCAATCTGAGCTTACGGAAGTTAGGGACAGCACCCAGAAATGTCCCTGGTTTCGTCACCGAATGAAGACATGGTGTGAAGCCTCAAATACATAACCAGAGTTGCTCATGACAGGAGGAAATTCGGGGGTGGGGTGGGGGTGGGAGATGGCGTAATCATTAAAAGCGTGCTCTGCAAGAATAAAGATCGGAGTGTGGTCATCAGAACTCACGTGAAAAGGAATAGGGTGTAGCTGTTAATTCCAGCACCCAGGGGCAGGGGTTGGGGGTGGGAGCAGAGGCAGGTAGATTCCTGGGGTTCTGTGGCCAGTCAGCATAGCTGAATGGGTGAGTTCTGAGCAAGGAGCGAGAAACCTGAATGACATCTGAGGTTGACCTCTGGCCTCATCCATACGTATTTAAATGCACACAAGCAGGTATGCACACAGGATAAAAGAGAAACCAGGAAGTCTCAGAAATGCAGGCAGAGTGTTGAGAGTGAGCTTGCCATGGTTCAAAAAGCTCAACACCACAAGACTTCTCTTCACTGGGAGGAAACGGACCTTCTTAAGGAAGCAGGCAAAGCACTGGGCATAGCCCAGCTCCCACCATAGAATATACGCATGCACACAGGTCCTCTGCACTCAGTCAGAGGGTATTGTCCATGTGTGAGGCGGCAAAAATCACGCTTAGGGATTAAGCGATGCATAAAATATTCCACCATATTCCCAGGGTTCAAACTCAACCCCTGCGCCCCCACCAAGCTGGAGGCGTTGCTCTGTGGCTAGACGCTGGGTAGGCAAGCAGAGTGCTGCCGCTCTTCATGAGAAGGCTTTTAAGACGTGAGTGCCTCTTTAAGCTCTACACAGATGATTTTAAATGAAATAGAAAACAAAGCCTTAACAGAGGGGAAACTATAGGAAAACCGCAAATACACCCCAAACAGAAAGATACCAAGTGAAAACTTACTAGGAATCTAGAATTCAGAGGTAAAGGACCATAAGAGCAAAGTTGTTTTTTTTTTAATAAAAAAAATATGATCCACAAAGATCCAACTATAATAATGCTTCATGAAAGAATCAAGATAGTATTGAATTAAATAAAACATAAATATGGCATGAAAATCTGTATCTTAAGTGAGTACCAACAGAAACACTCTGCTGGCTTGAGATTGGGGCACTTGCCATTGGTCCTTGATAGATCTAGAGCCAGCTTTACATGGGCTGGGCACATTGGCCTACGCCTTTAATACCAGCTCTTAGGTGACAGGGCAGGTGGATCTCTGGGAATTTGAGGCTAGCCTGGTCGACAGAGCGAGAGCCCACCTAAATCAATGAACAAGCAAATGAGTGACTAAGAAAGAAAATGAGACATTTATCAAAGAGCTTCTACCCTGGAGGGCTCTGGCCGAGTAACAGTGATTGATTATTTTAAATTGACAAGAAGCCGATGATTACCATGTATGTTGTAGGATTTAGAAAAGAAAAGAGAAAGCGCTCCTGTGACAGTAACTTCATTCAAAAGAATCTTTACCAGAACAACAAACAGATCATATTGCTGGCTTTACCCAGTAGATAGTTATCATGGTATCGTTCTTCAGAATTAACCACCAGAGAGGAAGAAAATGCAGGGAAATATTAATAACTTAAGATGCCCTCAGGTGGCAGAACATCATAAAGTCGTATCACCAGTTGAAAAAGCGTTTCAAAGGGCTGGAGAGGGGCTCAGCTGTGGAGAGCACTGGCTACTCTTCACAGGATGTGGGTTCAGTTCCCAGCACCCACATGGTGCTCAGTTCTGGGGATCCAACTCCCTTTTCTCAGACATACATGCAGGCAAAACACCCAAACACATAAAATGATTGTTTTTTTATTTAAAAAATATTGACATAGGGCAATGATCAGAGTCTGTTAATTGAAAAATAAAAATGACAAAAATGACGTTTAGTAACTTTTTAAAAAGAGAAGTTTGCCTTCTCCCCCCCACCCCCACATAGTTCTCAAATTAAAAATCTGGAACACTTCACGAATTTGCATGTCATCCTTGCCCAGGGACCTTGCTACTCTCTGTATTGCTCCAGCTTTAGTAGATGTGCTGCTGAAGCGAGCGCCATGTAGTACCTCCTCAACACAGTACTTACACTAAGAAAAACCGAAGCTTGTTTTGTTTTTTTGATTTTTTCCTTGGCATTGTTGCACTTTCTGCGCTTTCCATGGTGAACATCAATAATTAAAAAAGGGGAAAAATTAATAAAATATCCCCAAGACAGCCTGCCTTCCCAGTTGCGAACGCTGAAACGGACGGCCCCAGAAATAGCATCCGCTGCAAAAAGTTCAGTGATTTAATGCGATAATTTACAAACTAAAACCATGAATGTTTCATAGAGCTTGCGTGCCCGTGTGTGAACCACCTTCCCCTTCTCTCTAAGGCAAACCTGGCCAAGCAGGAAGGACGCTTGGCTGTGGCCAATGTGGAACTGGGGAAGGCCCAGGCCCTGCTGGACGAGAAGCAGGCTGAGCTGGATAAAGTGCAGGCCAAATTTGACGCTGCGATGAACGAGAAAATGGTGAGACGATGGAGGGAAAGTCCTGGTGCCCTATGGGAAGCAGCTTTGAACTTCACTTAAGTGCAGTTTTTAAGCTTACACCGTAAAAACGTGGGCGTGCTTGATGGGTACCACGAGGCGTTCTGCGCATGTGTGTGCACGGGATAAAGGTTAAGTCAAGGCAGACGCTCACCTCCTCAAGTCTTTTGTTCCTCAGATAGCACGTGTTTCCTCTCATATGTGGAACCTATCTGTGTTTCTAGTCTGACATCTACATCTGTCTCTGTCTACCCATTCAGACCTGTCTATTATCTATCCATTCATCTATTCATCTCTATCAGTCTATCCATCTATCCTTCATTTGTAAATGACAAAAAAGCAGAAGGGAAAGTTGGAGTTAAGGGAGGAACAGAACCATGAAAAGGGAAGGGACAACAACAGGGGAATGGAGATAAGGAAAGTACAGTTATGTGCATTTATGGAGATGTCATCATGAAACTCATTATTTTGTATACTCAAAAATTAATAAAGAAATAGCATTACTTTTATTATTTTCTGGAAAATATTTAATAGAAATACTACTTTGTTTTATATGATCTTAGAGTCTCTCTCATAAAACTTCCTTGAATTTTAGCCTCATTTAATTTTTATGTGATTAATTGTTGGTTTTAGGGACAGAGTTTCACACACCGCACTTTTTCTCCACTCAGCCTAGCCAAAGGCTGATCTTTCTGATCCTTCTGAACCTCCCCCTGTGGGGTGCTGGGATTACAGGCATGCACTACCGTGCCTGGGTTTATGTGATGCCAGGATTCAAACCCAAGGCTTCATGAGTGCTAGGGTAGCATTCTACCCAGCCCTTTTTACATATATTTACAATTTTACAAAAGGTTAAAAAAAAAAAAACACTCTCATGAATGAAGGATCAAAACCTAATCAATATGTTAATTCTTGCTGCATTATTTTACAACTAGATTTATTTTGCAAGCAGAGAAAGCCCTCTGTGTGGTTTTATGTGCATGTGGTTTTCTCCCTGCTCAAGCTCCTTCAAGTGTTGTCTGAGAAGTTCTTGTTTCTGAGTGCAGGACCTGCTCAACGACGCCGACATGTGCAGGAAGAAGATGCAGGCGGCCTCGGCGCTCATTGACGGGCTGAGTGGAGAGAAAGTCCGGTGGACCCAGCAAAGCAAAGAATTCAAAGCACAGATTAGCAGGTAGGAGTTTTGGTCTTTTCGGGCACTCTTCTTAGCCATCGCTCCCATTCTACTGCTCTGTGACACGGAGACCATAAAACCTACCCCCATCCACACTTCTGAACCTCCCCGCCCCCCCTCCCCCCGACTTGTCTGCGGTCACACCTTTGAGTTAGGGAGCAAAGGGACCTCCACACAGCTCTGTGGGACGAGTTTCCAGAAGGAGGCACATCTGGGGGCATCTAAGCTTGCTGGGACCGCCTGACCCTCTGGTCCCCTGGGCTTGCCCTCAGTGATCTTGAAAATGTGCACTGAGGAGGGAAGAAGACCCAGCCAGTGAAGGGCGTGTCCTCACTGATGTGGAAAGGTGTGGAAAGGCAAGCGTGCGGCCCACATCTGGAATCCCAGAGCTAGAAGGGTGAAGAGACAAGCGCATCTCTGGGGCGCTCTGCTCACCTAGTGAGCGCTAAGCCCAAGAGAAACCCTGTGTCAAAAAACAAGGTCAGGAGGCACCTGAGGAATGACATCTGGCATCGACCTCTGGCCTGCACCCACAAGGACACACCTACACACACACACACACACACACACACACACACACACTCCTGCACACATGAATACGCACAGATATACACAAACACACACAGTGGCGGCCCATGACAGGCTATAAACAGGGTGTGTAATAGGAAGAGGTCATGGTCCACACTTCAGGAAGGAGCCCGTTTGCATCTCACCCAAGTGTGACCCCTTCCACCCCATTCATGTTTAGGGCTCTGTCTTTCCATGTCAGTTATACCCCGTGACTGACTGGGCATCTGCTTTTTTTTTTTTTTCTTCGCAGGCTTGTAGGCGACGTGCTTCTGTGCACGGGCTTTCTCTCCTACCTAGGCCCTTTCAATCAGATATTTAGGAACTACTTGCTCAAAGACCAGTGGGAGCTTGAGTTGAAAGGGCGCAAAATTCCCTTCACTGAGAACCTGAATCTTATTGCGATGTTGGTGGATCCTCCAACTGTAAGTCTGACTTTTCCTAGTAACGTCAGAATTTCAGCCTCACTTTAAGTTCTTGCCATCAACTCCAAGTCAAAGAGGGTCTGCTTTATTTTTCCTGTAAACCTCATTTACAGGAAATTAAAATTTCCTGAAAACTTTATTTCCATTACTTAAGGTGGCTTAAATGGCTTTCAACTCTTTAGAATGTTAATTCCGTTAGGCTCTCCTTCAAAGGTTTGAGGCAAAGGTAAGCAGCACCTGTAACTGTGTGCTTTGTATGTAAATCTACTATGCTTTAGGCATTACATATGTTATGTATTGTAGTGTGCTCTGTATGTAAATCTAATATATACTCGGGGTCATATATAACATGTTAGGTAGCACAGTGCATTCCTTCCTTCTTTTATTGCTGTAACAAAGTAGCCTAAAGAAAACAAAAGAAGGAAGGGTGTTTTTGGCTCACAGTTTTGAGGGTCCATCATGGCGCCATGGTGGCGGGAGTGTCAGACAGATGGTCACATTGTATCCACAGCCAGGAAGCAGAGAGAGGAGGAGGGGGATGCTAGAGCGAGGCTTGCTCCTTTTTATTCGGTCCACTGGGCGGACGGTGCTGCTTCCATTCTGAGTGAGTCTTCCTCCTCGGCTGAGCCTCTCAGGGGCCTTCACAGGCCTCCCAGAAGCGGTTCTCCTGGGTGACTACAAACCCAGTCAAAGTGACGCTCAGGATCAGCTGTCACAAATAGCTAACACCCCGCGTGCCCGGGCGCCGCTGACTAACGGCATGCCTGACTTGCCGGGATTCTGGTGCCAGTGCCACAAGCCCCTGTGGCCGTAAATACTTTCCAGGGCAGCTTGTGTTCGCACTGACTCGCATTTCGCCAGTTGCCGCTTCCCTGGCGGGAGCCGATGCTGTGAATTTCTCACGCTCTGTATTTAAAGGTTAAAGAGCGGTCTCTGGGCCAAACACTGTTAGACTCATCGTTACGGGGAGTAGATTACTCACGGGAGGTACACTGGGCACTCTGTGGCAAGGTCCAGGCAGCCCTCATTGGTCTGGGTCTTTGGAGGCCCTAGCAGATAACTTAGAAAAGGTAGGTGGTGGTTGGTGCCTGCGATTTCTTGGGATTTTGCTGACCGTGCTGTAATCCCGTCTACACTTGAGGGAGGAAATAGTCCCTCTCAGCATCCACGAAAGCCTGCCAGCGTTTCTCAGCTGAAGCCTCCCCTGCTGTGTGCACACACGTGTAAGCCTTGGAGGTGAAATCGAAGGCCAGGCAGAACAGCAACCCCGAGGGATGGGGCCGTCGTCCTCTCTGATACGGGCTTACTTTCACAATCCGCTCTCTAAGCGGAAGAGAAAAGGTACAGCCTAAGAGGACAGCCCCAGCTTTAGCCACCAGATCGGGAGGACCCAAGTTCCATCCTTGGTACCCACGTTGGGTGGCTCACCCACTGTAGCTCCAGGTCTGGAGGGAAAGAACTCTCCTGGCCTCGGCAAGCAGGGCACTCACGTGTACAGAGCTACCCAGCCACCCACACACAAATGAAAACACGGACAAGAGATACTTAAACTCACTTTCTAAACCTAGCGTCACTTGGCTTACATTTGCAGCTGGCTTGGTTTGCCTCCCCTACCAGCCGCATTGTCCCAAAGAGAAAACATGTTTAAGGTGTTTCCGTTTGACATTATACACGCCTCAGTTACCAACCAACACATTCCCATCCTCTGAGCGGCCGTATCCCCATTTCCTCCTCTTCAGATTGGCGAGTGGGGCCTGCAGGGACTACCCGGAGATGACTTGTCAATCCAGAATGGCATTATTGTGACAAAGGCCACCAGATACCCTCTCCTCATCGATCCCCAGACTCAGGGGAAGACATGGATTAAATCAAAGGAAAAAGAGAACGATTTGCAGGTATGTCTGGTTTGGTGAGTGTGTGTAAATCATCACATTGTCTCGAGGTCTTAGTAAACTCTGTGGCTCACGAAGTTCCCCTGTGTGCTCGTTGCCTTGCGGTCGTGCTTGTTACAAACACTCGAGACGAACCAGCTTACAAAGACAGAGGGTTTGTTGGGACTCACTATTTGGAAGATTTTGGCCCCACGTCAGTTGGTTCACTTGCCTTGGGGTGAGGCAGCGTTATCTTGGAGCCGGTATGTGGTAATAGCATTCATGGAGGCGAGAATGCAGGAGAGAAGAAAGAGAAAGGGGCCGTGGTGCCTCTGCTGCCTTTAAAGGCTTGGCCTGGAGACGTAAACTCATTCCTCTGTTCTCCACCTCTTAACTGGATCTTCCAGGAGCTCCAAGCTGGGAACCACCAGGTCTTTAGCCAGCAGCCCTTTGGACTGTAACTGTAAGGTCGCTTTTTCTGGCCTGTGT